TTCTGATTGATTAGAAAGATCAACCCCGGCTTTAGTGAGAAGAAGATGGTTAGACGCCAATTGAAAGAGTGGTAGTTTTATCCATGATGACCGGGTGGCTCTCTTTGCCCTTTTGATCTACTTCCTAAACTAAAGGAAGATCTAGCTGTGGATGATGTCCCAGCTGGAAAGTCAACCTTTTCATATTAATGCCTGCCCTATTGGAGATTCCTACTATATATGCATTTATGCATTTTAGTTTTATGCGACAGGTATGTGACCTTAGGAATTAGGTTCGGGAGTTGCTTTAGCAATTTAAGCTGGCTCCAGGTGTCAGTAATAGAAAAAGATTGGATTGGGAAAGACCATGGAGGTTGACAAACCAGTGCTGTTGGGGAAGCGGAACTTCTTCTTCGTCGCTGCGCCAGCAAGAACGTAAACTCGGGAAAGCAAAGACTCTACTAAGTGCAGGAAAGCGGCTCAGCTCTAAAGCCTGTTCGTTCGGCGTGGAAAAAGGTGCATTGGCTTTCTCTCTGATCTTAATGCTCTGTCGATTCTTTGTTCAATCATCCTATCCGGAGTCAATTACATCGAACCTCGCTCTACTTCAATCGGCTCTGACAAGACCTTTCGCACCTTATTCTTAACTTAATTCTTATTGAAGTTTCTCCGGTCAAATGTCTTGAAGTAAGCATCCCGATCGGATAAGGCGATTGTGGTAAAGCGATTTTCTTTTGGTTTAGTTCTTCTAGAAGTGAGTCCGGGTATGCATAGTCTAATTCATCTCACTGAGCTATAGCACCCGACCTTCTCCGGCCCCTAAGCAAGGGCTCATTTTTCTTTTCAACATTCTTGGACGATGTTCAATCTCTCAGTTCTTTCTTCCTCAGCTTTAGTCTCTTTGGCTGCCGGATCTTATTCCAGCGAACCCCTATGTAGTATGTCCTGTCGAAGTCTTGCTCCCATTCTTCTTTGTGTTGCCTATTTTAGTTGAACCGTCTCCGCCTTTCCAGAAGCCTAGTTTTTCAATCGTTACAATCTTTCCATTAGCTCTTGCTTTAATAGCCCCACCCTTTTGAATCAGCTAAGACGAGGCTTTCTTACTTGTTCACAGCACGACTTAGTAAATCAGCTTCCTGGGGCAGCCCTTGCTTGTGAGAACCTCGACCACCCCCAAGCCCATAGATAGCTCGTAGAGAATCAGGTTCTTGAATAAGGGAGGCCCAAGACCTTCCAAAGAGGAAGAGGCGGGAGGGCCATATACCATGATGGGCCGTCTAGAAGATAGAAAATATGCTGTAATGAGACTCATTATGGGGTCTTCTATCTTTTCAATGGTTGGTTAGGCTGAAGAATAATAACAAGGGCGGTGGTTGGGGAAGGCGATCATAATAATATCTCAACAGAATTCTCTCTGTGTGTCGGGGACCACATAGTGTATTTAGAGAAATTTCTCAGTTAGTACGTTTTATTAAACAAGCACTACCTGTTCTGGAAGTCCGGTAGGAGGATATGTAAGCGTTCCGGGTATCTCTTCTTTGCGCTTTATATTAAGCAATCAAGAGTTCTCCTGCAACGTTATGTATCTGGGGATTCAATTCCCGATATCATGTCTCCTTCCGTCTCCATTACACGAACTGGATTGCCCAGGAGCATTCCTTCCTTTCATAGAAAGAAGACCCGTAAGCTATAGAATTATAAGCAAGTCAAGTTAGAATATCAGTTTCCCTTTTAGATTAGTATTTAGTAGTTCTAACTTAGTGCTACAGCCCTTACTTAGAATGAGAAGCAGCAAGCAACTAATCATATAGCCTTCGTGTCTTCCCCTCTGGGACTCTTTTATTTATTATTTCTTAATTAAGGCCCGAGTAAGACTACATTCAATTACTAATTATGCAGATGCCTATTTCGAACTCTTAGCCCTTACTTCTGGTAGGAAAGTCAAGTAAGAAAGAAATCCCTGCAGCCATATCTTAAGTCAAGGAAGAGCGGACTTTAAGCTCTTTTTGTAGTCCTTATCTTTACAACTTCGTCTGAGGGTGCTAACTGTGATCTCATTTTCGTTTCAAACCTACTTTGTGATGGCATCAGGAAGATTACATGATGAGAAGATTCGGCCTTTTCATGGCCTATTTCGGTCAATAGAACAACATCTAGCTAATAGAGCTCATCCAATCTCTTCCCCTGGGAATTTCCTAAAGAATCAGATTAAAGAAAGGCCATAAAAGGTAATCTTCTCCTAAGGATCTTCCCGTCTCTTGTTCTTCTATTCTTTCGTGTGATGAATGAAACTAATGAAGTAGGCTCGTGGAAAACAAAATCTCATTAGATTGAGTTACGCGTCCTTCCTGATAGAGAGACGCTCGAAGAGAAGTAATTCGATTTAGTGAATTCCCGTCAGGTGAAATAGGGCTGAAGTCTGAATTGAAGTTACAGCTTTCGGTGAATTAGTTTAAAGCTACATTTCTTAGTGGTAAAGACGTCTGTGTCACTTCTTTAGTTACGACAACAGATTACATTC